GAGGAACAGTCTTTAAATGCACGGATGATCCCGCTTAGCTAGAAAGAGAAGTTAAGAAGTACATATTGTTTGTTAAGCTGTAATTAGCAGATAAATGTACAAGGGGAAGGGAGTCCAAGTGTTACTGCTGTAGGTGATTAATGTGCTTCTTGCCTCCCTTGTAACCCTTTGATTTAAACCACTTAAGCTGTGGTCTTTATCAGGCACTACAATCCTGGAAATATGGGCTGCTAATTATTTTGGTGAGGCCCTGCTCTCTGTAATGACTCAAGCGCAGGGAGAGGGAGAATAAAGTGTTTCTAGCCATGACAAATGAAGCCCAGAGGACGTGACTAGACATAGTCTCTTTAGGAAAACAACAATAGTAAAAAGCACAGCACCTGTCACAAATTGTTCTTGAGTCTGTTGATGTCATGACCTGGCTGGCCCCTAGTTCCAGTGACTTGATTCTTGTCAAAATCCCTGCTCAGTTTCTTTGATACTGCAGCCTTTTCCCTGAAATCCTGCTCTAACCCTCGACTTGGAACCAGATCTTCCCCAGCCTGAGATGGTTCCACAATCTGCTGAAACCCAGCTTCCCCTGCCTGAGGTCACCAGCCACCTGTGCACTTCCATCTGACCTGTCTCTGGACCAAGCATCATTCTGACCAATGTCAGGAAATCTGATCATTCCATCCTGTGGAAAACATACAAACTGTGTCAGTGAAGCTTCTCGAGGAGCAGTGAAAGGCAAACCCCTGTGTATGCCCCTTTCCATCTGATACTCTGTCACATATCACAGTGGCCTAGGATGTTGTTGAATTCCCATTGGGTGGCTATTTCTAGGAACTAGAGGCTAGAGTCAAGGGCTCTGACATCTCATAGAGCCTCTGTTCTCTATGGAAGTACAACAGAATAGAGTTTAGACAGAATATTAGAAACTTTCAGAATGAGAATCATAAAAATAGCTACTGGTTGTTGAATGTTTACTCTCTTCTGGATAATGTTCTAAGTGCTTACATGTATTACCAGTTAACTCTGCCATTGACACTATGATGAGGCACTATAATTACCTGCATTATATAGTTTAGGAAACTGAGACATAGAGAAGCTAAGTAACTTTTCCAATGCCACACAGCTGACCAGTGGCAGAGCTGGGTTCAGGCATATATATATATATATATATATATATATATATATATATATATATATATATTTAATTGATTTTTCAAAGAGAGGAAGGGAGAGGGATAGAGAGCTAGAAACATCGATGAGAGAGAAACATTGACCAGCTGCCTCCTGCACACCCCCCCACCAGGAATGTGCCCGCAGCCAATGTACATACCCTTGACAGGAATCAAACCTGGGACCTTTTAGTCTGCAGACCCACGCTCTATCCACTGAGCCAAACCGGTTTCAGCTCAGGCTTGTTTTTATTTTCAAGCAGCTAAACACATTCTCTATTCATTGGGCATCTATGAATGAATGAGTTCATGAATGAACGGAGAATGTTTTGCTTGTATTCAACCCAAAAGACATTTTCATTATTACTGGGGTTGTACTGCATTGTCATTTTGCCAGTTTTCATATATTAGTGTGTCAATCAATGGTCTTATGTGGATTTAGCAGGGAGCATTGGCCAAGAAGGTTGGAGTGCTTGGGATGGCCCTTGGGTGCCCAGCCTTCCCTGAGGGAGGGAGCAAGTGTGAGATGGCACTAAGAGGTCCTCTCTTTCACTATTTTGGGCTGGGGACTGCTTGCAGCTAAAAGAGAATCCAAAATGTTCATAGCAGTAGTACTCAGAATAGTAAAAAAGTGGAAACAACCCAATGGTCCATTAACAAATGACTGGATAATCAAAATGTGGTCTCTCCATCCAATGGAATATTATTCAGCCATCAAAAAGGCAGGAGGTACTGATACATACTGCAACATGGGTAAACCTTGAAAACATTGTGCTAAGGAGAAAAAGCCAGACACAAAAGGACAAGATTATATGATTTCGTTTATATAGAATGTCCAGAATAAGAATTGGCAGATCCACAGAGACAGAAAGCAGATTAGTGGTTTCTAGGAGCTGAAGGATGGGAGGAAATAGGGAGTAACTGCTAATGGGCCTAGGGTTTCTTTTTGGGGAGATGAAAATGTTTTGAAACTAGACAATGCTGATAGTGGCACTACTTCGTGAATGTACAGAAAACCACTAATTGTGTACTTCAAAAAAGTGAATATGCTATATGACTTTGTCTCAGTAAAATCAACCAATCAAACAAACAAAAAACTAGAACAACAAAAAATCAGAACAGATTTCTAGTATTGAAAAATCCAAGTCCTGCTGAAACCGGTTTGGCTTAGTGGTAGAGCGTAGGTCTGTGGACTGAAAGGTCCCAGGTTCGATTCTGGTCAAGGGCATGTACATTGGTTGTGGGCACATCCCCAGTAGGGGGTGTGCAAGAGGCAGCTGGTGGATGTTTCTCTCTCATCGATGTTTCTAGCTCTCTATCCCTCTCTCCTCCTTTCTGTAAAAAATCAATAAAATATATATTTAAAAAAAAAAGAAAAAAGAAAAATCCAAGTCCTACTGGGTCATGGTCAAGCAGTGTCAAAATAGGGGCCGGGGGATCAGCTTAGTCTGCTCACTCAGTCCCAGGGAGGTTCAGGCCGCGTCCAAGGAGAATTCCCAGCACCCTGGTCCTCCTGGGGCTGTGGAGCCATCGCATCTTGGAAGTACAGTGCAGTGAAATATAACAATGACTGAAATAACAGTTTGCCAGCTCTCTTAATAGGACTGGGGAAGGGAAGGTGCAGAGAAGATTCCAGTGTCTTAAGTCACTATAATGCTTGTTTTCTCTTTCTCCTTCAAATGTTTGTTTATTTGCATTTAAAAAAATCCCTCATTGCCACAAGTGAAAGGACTAAACAGGCACCAGTAGCCTGTGGTGGACAAACTACTACTCCAAGGCATGGCTAGGCTTTTTGGCTGCTGCCCCTTCTCAGGGCTCACAATTGCCTAGGGAGGATAGCGGAACCGGTTCTTAGGCTGAATTTAAGGATAAATCCTGACTACGTCCAGCCCTGAGAATGCACAGACTATGCGGAGCAGTGAGATAATGAATGTGAAAAGGCTCCAGGTAAAAGATTGTTATACCTAAGGATTCTCTTCTCATTAGGGAGCGCAGGATAGCGCCCCCCCCCCTCCTCTCTTGCTCGCGCGAGTGCGTGCTTGTGTGTGTATGTGTGTGTGTGATTCATCTTCAAACAAGGGACGCATTCCTACTTGGGCTTTTAAGCTTGACAAAGTGTGTGCAATCTAGTTGTCTGCAGGGTCTGTTTTTCTGTTAAAGGTCCCTGAACTTTGAAGTCCCTCATGGAATCCGCCCCCTGCCCCCCAGCCCCCCTTTCAGCCCCTCTCCGGGTGGGGCAAGAGGGCTGCAGAGTCCAGATGGTGGCGCTAAGGGGCAAACAGCCCCCTCTCCCCTACTGCGGCAAGACAAGTCAGGAAAACTTACAAGGTGTTTAGCTGAAATTTTCTGGGAGGCTTCTCAACAAGAGCCGTAATTTTTACTAACGGGCAGAAATTCACCCTAGTGACCAAGGCTGTTGAATGAGCAAGTGTGAGAATCTCGCTCTTTTAGCCGGAACCATTAGGATTTCCTGGCGAGAGCTCTGCTTGCCTAGGCACGCCCAAGGAACCTGGATGCCTGGGGAGGGGGATCCACTGTGCTAGGGAACAACCTGACCCAGAGGGAGATGAAATGAGAACCTCAGAAGGAAATGGCAAGGGAGAATGACCGAAATAAGTTGTGCCTGGAATGGGGGTAGTGGTACTGGTCTCCTGGTGGCTTCGTGGCTGAGCCTCCCTGCGGCACCTCAGCCCGGTCCCACCTCTGAGCTGCGGTTGAGCTCCAAGAGCTTTCCCGTGCTTTGCGCCACCGAAGGAGCACAGGAGCCAGAGTTACTCAACTCTGGTTTCTTTTGAGAAGCAGCGGCCCAAGAGAAAGGCTTTCTTGGTGTTTTCCTTTTTTTTTCTTTTTTTTTTCCCCCCCAATGCAGCATCTGAGCTCCCGCAGCCAGGGTGACTGGCAGCTGGGAAGGGGATGAGCTCCCACTCTCGCTTGCCCCAAAGCTGTGCTGGAGCAGCTGCCTCCCCTTGTTTCCAGAGTACAGGCTCTATCCCTGCTTCCAGAGCCTGGCTCAGGGAATGTCTCTTCACGCAGAGCACAAATCTGGCCTGGACTGAGTGACCACAGCCATTGATGCTAAGGATACCAATGGGCTCCTGTCAGCCACAGGAGAAGGGTTACATTCCCTACAGGGGGGGGGGGATATATAGGGCTTAGATTGGGGTGGAAGCATCCAGCAGTTGTCCCCTGCTACCCTAGGAGTGTATAAGGGTTTGAAGTGCTGTGAGTAAGATGAACCTCTTAAGGAGACTGTGGGGGCATACACCCAGGGTTCAAAGGGCCACTGGCCACCTTTCATACTCTGCTGGGGGCTTCAGAGTGGCTTGGGTTGACACTACACTCCAAGGAGGACCCAATGACTATGCTCTGCCGTTTACATTGCTTTGCAGTGTTTGCAGAGTGTTTGGAAGCAGAGAGAGAAGAATTTGCCAAACACGCATGCACAATGGCTGGGGTGTCTGTGGGAGGGGGGTGGACTCTGAGCTTGTCAAAACTAGAAATACCTAGGGAAAGTCCATTCAATAGGGGGCTTCTGACTGGAGGAAAAGCACAAATAAGGCAGTCAGAAGCAAGATGACACCTCAATGTGGATTTGTCCGAGGAGGTGGTGACTAAAGCAGGGGTGGTCAGGAAGGTATGATTGGCCAGGGGGTGGGATTTGGGGTGGGGCTGGGCCCCTCTAGAGGCTTTAAGAGCTCTACTGAGAGGGGGGCAGCACGCTGTCATTTGCTCTCTGTTTCTCAGAGGGGAAGCAGCTCTTCAAAGCAGCTCCCGGTGACAGAGTAGGTGTTCGCTTTCTGGACTGCCTGGGAGATCCTAACAGTCTCTGGCAGCAACATGGTGCCTACCTTGGCAGTCCCCACCCCATATGGCTGTATAGGCTGTAAGCTGCCACAGCCAAACTACCCTCCAGCACTAATCACTTTAATGTTCTGCTTAATGGTTGTCACCGTCGTCACAGACCTCACTGGGAACTCCTTGGTGATTTTGGCTGTGGGGAAGAGCAAGAAGCTCCGGAATTCTGGTAAGCTACCCTTCCTTCTCTCTATCCAGCAGGTGCGCTGGGAACAGGGAATCTACGGACAAGCTCTCACAGTGAATGTCCCTGCTCCCAATTTCCTGAGAATCTGAGCGGGTGATGTTATGCACGGGTCCCATAAATTTAGCGCTTTTCCAGGCGGCGGGAGCTCAGAGATTTAGCTTTGGGAAGCCAAGTGCAAAGCTCGCGCTGTGTGGCGGTTTGCCTGCTAGTCCTGCCTGTCAGGGACCAGATGCGGAGGAACGTGGCACTGTAACGGAGAGTCCGGAGAGTCCGGCAACCACCTGTGGACAACAGGCGGAGCTGGATGCCACTGAGGTGGCCGCGCGGAGCCTAAGTGGACGCGGGAGAGCAGCGGGGCTGAGACCGCTCCCCAGCTCCGCTCCGCTCTGGGAAAGTTAAGTTCTAGCGGCTGCCGGCTGCGCGGGCTGCGCGGGCTGCGCGGCGCTTACCGGAGGAAGCACAGCAGCCACGTCTTTGGGGGGCCAAGTCCCCACTCTCCCCGGACCTGGGATCCAGGGTGCCTGGGTAGCTCAGGAGAGCGGAGCACAGACTCCCTGAGCCTGAGTATGGAACAGGTTGGTCTGAGCGCATGGGAGCCGAGCTCCATCCGCCTGTCCCAGGGCGCGCGGTGGAGAGAGGCGAGAGGCAGGCGGGGCGCAGCCGGCTGTGGCAGCGAAGGAAGGGGCAGCGGAGATCCCCAAATCCGTATGCAAGGTACTGGGGGTCGCAGTGCGGGGCTGATGTGATGCTCGGGAGCTTGGGGTTGGACCGAAGACCTTATTGCCGGAGAGTTGCAGAAGTGCTCAGGAGGTTGGTGATGGGCTCAGCGAGTCTGGAGAGTGAGGGGGAGCCGGGACTTGTTTGAGCGGGCGAATGAGACTTGCTGCCAGCCAGTGCTCAGAGAAGGGAGCCGGCTGCTAGCAGGACTGCGCGCGCGGAGAGGCGCCGGAGAGTGCTGGGGGCTGAGACCTGGGCTGGGGGTACCGGCGGCGGCAAACATTGCGAAGTGGTGAACCCTCTTTGCCGCGGGTGCTCAGAGAAGGGAGCCGGCTGCTCGCAGGACTGCGCGCGGAGAGGCGCCTAAGGGTGCTGGGGGCTGAGACCTGGGCTGGGGGTACAGGTGGCAAATATTGCAAAGCGGTAAACTCGCTTTGCCAGCCGGTGCTCAGAGAAGGTAGCCGGTTGCTCGAAGGACCGCGGCGCGGAGGGGCGCAGGAGGATGCTGAAGGCTGAGGGTACAGGCGGCAAGCATTGCAAAGCGGTGCTCCCGCTTTGCCAGCCGGTGCTCAGGGAAGGGAGCCGGCGGCTAGCAGAACTGCGCGCGCGGAGAGGGGCAGGAGGGTGCTGGGGACTGAGACCTGGGCTGGGGGTACAGGGGGCAAACATTGCAAAGCGGTGAATCCGCTTTGCCAGCCGATGCTCCCGCTTTGCCAGCCGGTGCTCAGGGAAGGGAGACCGCGGCTACAAGGACTGCGCGCGCAGAGAGGCGCAGGAGGATGCTGAGGGCTGGGGGTACAGGCGGCAAACATTGCGAAGCGGTGAACCCGCTTTGCCAGCCGGTGCTCCCGCTTTGCCAGCCGGTGCTCAGGGAAGGGAGACCGCGGCTACAAGGACTGCGCGCGCGGAGAGGCGCAGGAGGATGCTGGAGGCTGAGACCTGGGCTGGGGGTACAGGCGGCAAACATTGCAAAGCGGTGAATCCGCGGTGAATCCGCTTTGCCAGCCGGTGCTCCCACTTTGCCAGCTGGTGCTCAGAGAAGGGAGCCGGTTGCTCCAAGGACTGCGCGCGGAGAGGCGCAGGAGGATGCTGAGGGCTGGGGGTACAGGCGGCAAACATTGCAAAGCGGTGAACCCGCTTTGCCAGCCGGTGCTCCCACTTTGCCAGCTGGTGCTCAGAGAAGGGAGCCGGTTGCTCCAAGGACTGCGCGCGGAGAGGCGCAGGAGGATGCTGAGGGCTGGGGGTACAGGCGGCAAACATTGCAAAGCGGTGAATCTGCTTTGCCAGCCGGTGCTCCCGCTTTGCCAGTCGGTGCTCAGGGAAGGGAGCCGGTTGCTCCAAGGACTGCGCGCGGAGAGGCGCAGGAGGATGCTGAGAGCTGGGGGTACAGGCGGCAAACATTGCGAAGCGGTGAACCCGCTTTGCCAGCCGGTGCTCCCGCTTTGCCAGCCGGTGCTCAGGGAAGGGAGACCGCGGCTATAAGGACTGCGCGCGCGGAGAGGCGCAGGAGGATGCTGAGGGCTGAGACCTGGGCTGGGGGTACAGGCGGCAAACATTGCGAAGCTGTGAACCCGCTTTGCAGGTTGGGTTGGGAGATGGTTCAGAGAGAAAGAGGAGGGCAAAGGAATCCAAACGCTGCCCTCGGGCCACGGAAGGGAGGGACCAGCGCTTGGGGGTCTCCAGCCAGGTTCTCTCTGGGACCCCGGGGTGGTAATGCAAAAAGATGGAAGAGGGTGGTGGTGTCGGAGGGGTTCGAATATCCACTAGACTTGGGAGTCAAGGCGCTAGGGAGAAGGTGATCAGTCTCTGGGGGATTCTTTTGCTGGATCAAAGAATCAGAAACAGCGCGCAAGTTTCAAAATGCAGCGGAGTGCATGGAATCATTAAAAGTTTTCCTCTAAACTGTGGTGGATGTGTTTTACTTCCCCTTCATCCCCTGGGGATGCGGACCACACCCTTGACCTCACCTTTACAGTCCGGTCGCGAGGGGCAGAACCACCCAGCCCAGGGTCACCTGAGAAGCCCATTTTTCTTTTCTTTAATTTTCTTCTTCTCTTTCCTTTTCTCCTTCCTCTCCTTTTATAATTCACGTAAAGATTTTCATGGCTGGGTGGCTTTGTTTTTAAGGCTTTGCCCTCTCTGTTTCCTGCTTCCCTTCGCCTAATTCATTACTTTGAGGGAAACCCTAGAAAAATCCTCTTGGGTGGAAAGCACCAAGGCTAATCGCCCTGGCAGCGCCAGTCAGCATGAGGAGGCAGAGGAGCCCTTCCTTTGTTCTTTGAAAAAATACTCATTCCCCCCCCCCCCCCCCCAGTCTCAGATGAAGTGCAGTGTTTTGCTAAACAAGCGCATATTAGCAATGAGGTGTTTCCAGAGAAAGAGCGTTCTCCGCCTTCATTTGGCTTCTATTTAAATTTCTTTCTTTCTTTCTTTCTTTCTTTCTTTCTTTCTTTCTTTCTTTCTTTCTTTCTTTCTTTCTTTCTTTCTTTCTTCTTCTTCCTTCCTTCCTTCCTTCCTTCCTTCCTTCCTTCCTTCCTTCCTTTCTTCCTTCTTTCCCTTCCTTCCTTCCCTTCCCTCCTTCCTTCCTTTCCTCCTTCCTTCCTTCCCTCCCTCCTTCCTTCCCTTCCTTTCCTTCCTTCCTTTCCTTCCCTTCCTTCCTTTCCTTCCCTTCCTTCCCTTCCTTCCCTTCCTTCCTTCCCTCCTTTCTTACCTACCTTCCCTTCCTTCCCTTCCTTCCCTTCCTTCCTTCCCTCCTTTCTTGCCTACCTTCCCTTCCTTCCCTTCCTTCCTTTCCTTCCCTTCCTTCCCTTCCTTCCTTTCCCTCCTTCCCTCCTGCTTTCCCTACCTCCCCTTCCTTCCCTTTCCTACTGCTGCCCTATGAAACTGGAGTCCGACCCCCCACCTCACTTTCCTGTTTAGCAATGCCTGGTGCAGGGTGGCGAATGTGCTTTTGCGCTCAGAGCCTGGGCAGGCATCAAGTATGCACTTATGCTAATCCTTGAAGGATTTTCCTGATTTAAAAAAAAAAAAAGCCCTACTCACCATTTCTTTGGTCTCAGACTAAATTTTACAGGGTTCCCTCTCTTCCCCTCAGCTTTTATTCTTATGTTATATCGGAAATAATAAATTTTCTAGGCTGAGTCTTAGATTCTTGTCTAATTCCGCTGGGAAAGACTGCCTAAGAAAACAACAGTTCTCTGTGGACTTATTTGCATTAGGATTGCAGTGCTAGGCTAGAGAAGGCAGAGGTCTAATTTTGGGGGGTGCAGGGTATGGAAGCTTCCCGACATTACTCCAATCTCTCTCTCCCCCCCACTTGCCATCCTGCTTCCTACAACAGCTTGATCTAGCTCACCTCCACCACCTTTTCCCATCTCTCCCAACACTACCCCCAGGAAAACACACACACACACACACACACACACACACACACACACACACACACACACACGTTTGCATTTTGCTTTTGTCTAAAACTGTCTCTTTGTGTCGCTGTGTGAGTGTGAAGGGCTCCTCAAGGGGCTTTTGTATTTACTGCTTTTTGAAGAAATAATGTGGACAAAGAACGGTCTCTCTAACCTGACAGTGCATCAGAATCACCTGGGAGATGTTTGTAAATAAAAAGAAAAACACAACTGTATTTCGTTGAAAGAATTCTAATTGTCAAGATTCCTCGAGTGTAAACTTGTGTAGTTTTCCATACTTAATCGTTTATTCTTCTCTGTCTTTCCACCTCTCCCTCCCCGAATGTGTTTTTCAGGTAATATCTTTGTGGTCAGCCTCTCGGTGGCTAATATGCTGGTGGCCATTTACCCCTACCCTATGATGCTGCACGCCATGGCCATCGGAGGCTGGGATCTGAGCAAGCTACAGTGCCAGGTGGTCGCATTTATCACAGGGCTGAGTGTGGTTGGCTCTATCTTCAATATCATGGCAATTGCCATCAACCGTTACTGCTACATCTGTCACAGCCTCCAGTATGAGCGGATCTTCAGTGTGCGCAACACCTGCATTTACCTGGTGGTCACCTGGATCATGACCGGCCTGGCTGTTCTGCCCAACATGTACGTTGGCACCATAGAGTATGATCCTCGCACCTACACCTGCATCTTCAACTATCTGAACAACCCCATCTTTGCCACGACCATCGTCTGTATCCACTTTGTCCTCCCTCTGCTCATCGTGGGTTTTTGCTACGTGAGGATCTGGATGAAAGTGCTGGCAGCCCGTGACCCCGCTGTGCAAAATCCTGACAACCAATTTGCCGAGGCTCACAATTTTCTGACCATGTTCGTGATCTTCCTCCTCTTTGCAGTGTGCTGGTTCCCTGTCAATGTGCTCACTGTCTTGGTGGCCTTCAACCCAAAACAGGTAGCAAGCAAGATCCCCAGCTGGCTTTATCTTGCAGCCCACTTCTTGGCCTATTTCAACAGCTGCCTCAATGCTCTGATCTATGGGCTGCTCAATGAGAATTTCCGAAGAGAATATTGGACCATCTTCCATATTATTCGGCACCCTATTCTCTTCTTCTCTGGTGTCATACATGATATACGTGAGATGTGGGAGGCCGGTGGCCTGGCCCATGCCCATGCCCGTGCCCCTACCCTTGACCAAGCTCGAGAACAAGCCCGTGGACAAGACCGTGCTGCTCTGGAGGAAATACCAATGAGGGTCCTGAGTGTTCCACTACCGGGTAATGCAGCTGACCAACCTGAGCGTGCTTCTGGCCATCTCACACCAGTCTCTGTTCACTCCAGGCCTGACTGTGCCTACCACAAATCTGTTTCTGACCCCCACAAGTCTGTCATTAGCCACTCCAAGCTCGCCTCTGGTCACCCCAAGTCTACCACTGTCCACCGCAAGCAGGCCTCTGTCCATTTCAAAGATGACTATGTCCATTTCAAGCCTCCCTCTGTTCATTTGAGGGCTGACTCTGTTTATTTCAAGCCTGCCTCCAGCCACCCCAAGCCTATCCCTGGCCACCAAATCCCTACTGGAAGCCCCTCCGAGAGACTCTTCAGCCCTGCCACCAGCCACCCTATACTCACCACTGGCCACATCAAGCCTACCATCATTGGTTATCCTCAGCCCTCTGCTGCTGGACACTCTGAGCTCACTATGTCCTGCTACCCTGAGACCACTGCTATTGGACACCTTAAGTGTGAAGTTACTAATCGCCCTGAACCTCTCTCCAGTCCTGCCACTGGCTCCCTCAAGCCTGCTGCCACCACTCACCCTCTTGATTCCACTGTTGTCACCACTGACAGCATTGATTACCGTGACATTGTGGTTCTTGATGTTGATTCTTATGAAATGGCCATATGAAAAATGCTCTTAGGGGTTGGCCAAGCAATGGTCCACTTTTAAGTGTGTCTAGCCTATGTAACCTCACTGCATTTAAATATAGAAAGGCACGCAAACACTGACTCACAGCGTGTTGTAAGCTAATTCCATCATTCACGCATACTCTCTTGTATCACATACTCGTGTGTGTGTGTGTGTGTGTGTGTGTGTGTGTGTGTGTGTGTTGTGTGTGTGTACTTGCTATTTTAGAAGCCAAATTGTCATCAAGTTTGACTTCTGTTGTTCTAAGCCTACCTTTCCTTCTGCTGCTGGCCTTGAACCCACAGTGATCCTTGACATTTTAAGCTGATTTTTCCCTACTCCCATGCCCCCCTTTCTCCCCTTCCCTCATTTCCTCCTCCTTGTTCATGCTTCTTCCATCCTCTGAGGGAGGGATGGCAGAAGAGTGCATGTGCAATGTTGAAGGCTTCTGTAAAGTTAATGTGACCCCAGTGCTTTATGTTTCTAAGTGTCTAATTCTATATTGTACATTTGATGGCAGTCATAAAAGCAGATGTAATAAAGTACAAGTAGTTGAAACAGTTGTTGCCAAATTACAACAGTAAAATATGATCCATATTTAAAAATAACTTGATAAGCTCTTATTAAAATACATTTTTATGCTTAGGAGATCAAATGGAAAAATGAAAGATGTGGCCACAAGGAATTGTTTTTATTTTGTGAAAATTCAAATATCAGTGCTTATTTTTATAGTCAAATATGAATGGAAAGAATGACATGTTTTTACATTTTTTGTAGTCACATATTTTTTAGTATCTGCCAGGATTTTTTTTCCATTTAGATTTAGAAAGACACATCCATTCATAAATTGGTTTCTACTAACATGTAAATTTATGGTTGCTAGGATCAATTATAGTTGGGCTTTTAATATTGTAATTCATAATACACTATATCTGAGAGTTTTTTTTAAACTGACTGATGTTTTCACACAATCAATTTTTATTTTTATTTTTCATTCAAAAGGGAATTCAAGGTAATAACTGGTAGCCAGAAGTCAATGAAGTCCTTCCATGGAAGTTGTAAATTGGTGTTTCTCTGAAAGCCTTTTCCTTCTGCCTTGTCCCTACCTTGGTTGAGAGGTGGAGAGGAAAAGATGGCGACACCAGCCAACCCCCCACTCCCTTGGTTGAGGTGATAAACAATGTTAAGTTATAGACATCTTGCATCAGCAGACCTGAAAGCCCAAGAAATGATTTTCCCCCTAGGGTTCAAGAAAAAGTTGTTTATTTTTAAATAAAAATTTCAATTATTGATTCAAATTGACATTTAAAACAACACTTACTGTACAAAAGCTTGTAAGGATAAGTGGAAATGTGTTATACTGCCTTGATTCGATTCTGTGATTGTGGTAGCAGTTAAATAAAAGTGTTTTTGTGGCTTTGGTGTGCGACTTGTTGATAAATTCATTTTTCCACCTGGCTCACTTGTGGGGAGGGTTCAGAGGTGGGTGGAAAAGCATTGACCTTGGGAGAATCAAAAGATTTGTGTGCAAGTTCTATCCCTGCTACCAGCTTGCTACACCCCAAAGCAAGTCACATGACACCTTTCTATTCAGTTTCTTTACTATGGTAGGGTGGGGGTGTGGAGGGCTCACTCGCTTTAGTGTGTTCTCACTAATGCGCTGACAATGGATGACTGAACCTGTGGCTCTTGGACTTTTGGATCTTGCTTTCCATGGCTTCTCAAAACAGGTCCCTTTTCCCCCCCATGGAAGGAGTGAATCCAAGCCCAATAATGTCACAACCCCAGAGGCTGCTGGGACCACCAAGTGATAGAGCATATGGACCAGTGCAGGGAGGTACAGGAATGGCAGCAGGGAAACATGTGGTTTCCCGTTTCAGCTAGAAGATGGTGGTAAGACCCAGCCACTGGGCAAGACTCCTGACTTCAAGAATGTAGTCTCTGGTCTGGTCAAACTGTTGGACCTCAAAGGGAGGGTGGGGATAAAAGAGGGAGAGATCCACCAAAGGACTTATGTGCACACATATGAGCCTAACCAGTGGTCAAGGACAATAGGGGGTGGGGGATTGGGATGGGGGGTTGAGGACAAATATGTGATGCCTTAATCAATAAAGAAATTAATTAATAATAAAAAAGAATGTAGTCTCCAAAGAATCTTTAATGACAAGGGAATACTTAAACTGTTCCATTAAAGAAAAAACAACACCTAGATATATGCAATAAGATACCAACTTGGTTAAGAAAATACATACACGTAAAACATGCACATATACATAGACCCAGAGCTATGCATATATGTATAGTGGTTTTATTCAGGTGTAGCCAGACTGTGAATATAAAGTGAGGTAATCTTAACCTATCATGCCCAAATTACAGTGGTTCTAGCCCCACCAGAATGACTGCTGCACCTCAGCTGATTGCCTGTGCAAAATTTCTTGCAAGCATTCCTGGACACCCAAAAAAGTTGCTTATTTGTGCTCACAAACTGATCAACAGTCAGTACTCCCTCCCTCATTCTTCCTCTCTGGCTCTACCCAAGGATCTTCGCGTTGGGTGAGATTACAAGTGTTCAAACCAAGGGTGCTGTGTCTCAGTGCTCCAAAATGTTATTCTGCAGGGGCTCAAGAGGTGCAGGGCTCAGAGGAGTTGGAAGAGATAGAAAAACTATCACTTTTAAAACTTTGTTTCACACTCTGCTCCTAGGTGCCTGAAGCAACACTGTTTATGCCCAGAGTACTCACAAAGTCTTATGGAAGCAGCTACTTCAGCCACTGCTTGCCTGCAAGCTGCTTTCATTTGTGTTTGCCCACCTCTGCCCCACAAGGAACAAGCAGAAGTTCATGCACAGTGCCTTATCAATTCATATATAGTTCTCTACTCCCCCTTCCTTACCCTCTCTCTCTCCACTTCCAAAATCAAGAAGTCTCATAAACACGTTTCTTGACTTACCATGCTCACTATGAGTGACCAAGGCAAGACGCTGAATTTCTGAGGTCAGGTTTAAGGTGCTTTGTAGTTCTCTCCAGCAAAATGCAAAGTTTCTAGCTTTATACTAGTAAGAATGAAAGAGCCAGTTTTGCTGACTTTCCCAAAGAGAAAATCTGCCTTCAGGTGAGCCTAAGTCTCCATATAATCAAGAGATTAAAAAAATACAAAGCAACTTTTATATGACAGTTTTCCCCAGTTTCTACTTTTTTCTTTTTAAATGGACATACCCTGTTTCCCCGAAAATAAGACAGTGTCTTATATTAATTTTTGCTCCCAAAGATGTGCTAGGTCTTATTTTCAGAGGATGTCTTATTTTTCCATGAAGAAGAATGCGTTACACATTTATTGTTAAATGAAAATAAAGGAAATTTATTACCTGTGTAAGGTACAGTAGTACAGTAGTTGTCAACACAAACCAGACAAACTGTGAATCCTACAGTATCAAGAATTTACTTATTTACTCAATGACAATCATGTCATCATCTTCTGGAACATCATCATAACAATACAATTCCTGAATTTCCTGGTGAATCTCTTGTGACTCCATTTCTTTCAGAATCAGTGGACCAAAGCCTACGGGGTCCTTATTTTCGGGGGGATGCTTTATATTTCACTCAAAAGGAAACCTGTAAGTAGGTCTTCTTTTTGGAGGATGTCTTATTTTCGGGGAAACACGATATAATTTATATACTGTCAAGTGACAGCTTAATTTTACATACTTATATATCTGTATAACCGCCACTATAACAAAGATACATACTGTGCCCCCCAAAAGGTAAACACTAACAGCTGATAGCTCAATATTAAAAATGAAATATATATTAATAAACACTGCCTTTATAATTATTCAAAGTGTGTGTATATACATTTTTTGGGGACACCCTCTATATAATCCTCCAGAAGGCTCCCTTTTGCCTCCTTACAGTCAACACTACATCCTCCTGCAACACTACAACATTATAGTCCGCAGGCCAAGGCTTTATCCACTGAGAAAAAAAAACCCAACAAAACACTTCTCTTATCTCTCTAATTCCCATAAAATCGCTGCCAGGTTGATATTATTACTTCTTCTTCTTTTTTTTTTTTTTGAGAAGAAAAGATTGAGGCTAACAAAGGTTAATAAATTTGTCTAGAATCACAAAGCTGGAAAGTTAGGCAATTTGAGCCCAAAAATGCTTAGTGAAGGTCAAGTATAGATTTTGAATAGTATTTTCTGGTGAATTCTGTTAGGATTAATCAAACCAGTTTAGCCTAAAGTAACAACAACCATAGCTAATCTTATTTATTTATTTATTTATTTATTTATTTATTTATTATTGATTATGGTCTTACATAATTGTCCTTATTCCCCCATTCCCATCCCAAACCCCTCACTAGATATGCCCCTCCCATCCCTCGTTGTCCATGGCCACTGGCTAGGCCCAAAAAAACTGATTGTACTGTTCAAAAAGCTGTTCCTAAAGGGTTAACAAAAATTCTTATTGGCAGAGCATCCCATGGTAAAATTTCACAACATGTTATGAACCTAAAGTAGTTATAGTGTAGCACAAATAAGTTAAAATGTAGAAGCTATCAAGACTACAGTATAAAATTTCCAAAAGTTTTCTATTATTTAAAGTAAAAAAGGGGGTGACAGTGGAAGAATATCATGTAAGGAAAAATATCCTGAGAATAATTTACATCTAAAAAATTTGTGCTTTAGAAAATTAACCTTCATTCGAAATGCCAATAGCAAGATACCCATGAAAATACACACATGGTGACAAAACAAGCCAGGGGGAAATCATTTAGGGGGGGGGGGGAAATGGAAAAGAATCCCAAATCAAATTTAAAGAAAGTATCCCTTTATTAACTTGGTCGAGAATATGTTTGTATATTTTCAGAAAACAACTCCGAGACCATCTGGAATCCTGTAACAAAGAGGAATAGACAGAAGCGCTTCAGCCATGAAGACAGAAGAGACACAATTCAGAGATGGAAGATGCTGACGACGCCTCAGCATACCAGCAGAC